CCGTGCCCGGCTAAGCTGCGACGAAGAATACTCAGGGAAGAGCGGCACCGCGTTAACGTCGACGATGTAAGACACCGTACCGGCAGGGGTTCTGAGTTGCTTGGCAGCGTATTAGTACGAAGGCTTGTAAGGCTCCGTTCTGAGCTGCTTGGCAGCTTATTAGTACAGAGGCTTGTAAGGCTCCGGCCACGGCGTTGTCTGTACTGTCGGCGCGTACATCTTCTGGCCCATGGCAATGCGACATACTTTCAAAAAAGACTATCCTGCCAGTTATTATAAAGGGGTATAGGTTAATCTCAGCTGTCGATGTATTTAGCGGGTGTACCAAAGCAGAAGTGGATCCACAAAGAAACCTAAGAATGTACAATAATTCAAGAATTCAACTTTACACATTCCCATTAACAAAAGATACAATAGCATGTCCTAGAATTCATAGTTTTGTAGACAAAGAATGAAATATTGCTTAGAGATTGTGACACATACTCGGTTCATATGCACTCCAAATACTATTTCCTTATTTTTATTTTTGCGGTACAAATACTATTCCCTTATATAACCAGAATTTCGTCACTTGATTTCTTCATGCGGCACTTGTTTACCATTTTTATCAATTGTCAATCCTTTTTCACCTGCTTGCAGCACAAAAAAGATACATCCGATTAAAAAAAAACTCTTACCATCCTGAAATTGGGACTAGCGAAAACTTGTTTCCGAGGTATGTACCAACGAGCTATGTCAAAAGAATTATAGAAACGGTTGCTGCTTTAGGAATAATATATTTTAAGTTCTTCACTTGTTAAAAGGCAAGAAGTGGTAATAGTAAACTATAGGCATGTCAACTGTCCAGCATGTGAATTGCACTAATTCTGAAGTATGTGTAATGTAACAAACTTAAACAATGGAACACAACATCAAATCACAACCAAATTACAAGGGCGGTAATCTGCACCAAGGCACAGTTGAACCCATAAATTATCATACATCAAAAGCACATGTCAGCATCTACAGGATTGGCAAAAATAGTAAAGGTTGTTTGGTGCTAGGGTATTTCCCATCAAGGTAATAAGCATGAGTCATCACAGGAAATGTTTCACATATATAATTTCTAATACACAGGAGCGACTAACCAAGGGAAGTGAAAGTTACACAATGAAGGTAGTTAAGTGGAAAGAAAGAGAGGCAGCTAAGGGAAAACCTGAAGTGCGTTCTGTCAGTGAGCCAATGTTTTGTGTAGAGTAGAAACTTCCTCTTGGGAATTGACAGTCTTGTTGCTTGAATTTCCATGCAGCTTTGGGTGACACCCAACAAGATGAAGTGCTTCTATTGAGGTTGGCAGACCACAAGTAGGTAAAGACTGGAACTCTGTGCAGTATGATATGCTCAGAACCTTGAGGGCTGTGAGTCTCCAAAAGTTTACTGGGAAAGATGCTGCTGTCAGTTTGGGGCATTTCTCAATCACCAAACGTTTCAGTGAAACAAAAGTACCCAAGGAGACTACAGAAGAGAGCAGTGGACAGTTGGATATTTGCAACTCTGTGACTGTTGTACACAAACTATTATTTGCTGGTACCAGAAGAGATGTCATGTTGGGCAGATCTATCATCTCAAACGAGTACAAAGAGGACAGCACTTGAAGAAGACTTTCCAAATTCTGATCTGATATGTCAGAGTGGCACAGCTGAAGCTTTTGGAGAGAAGTAAAGGTGTGGAGTCCCTCTGCAGCAACAAGATGCTTGCAGCCAGCGTTTATGTTTAAAACTATGATAGATGCTAGATGGCTTTGATGGAACAGTCCCCTGGAAAGTACACTAGTCGTAGAAATGTCCAGGGTGAGTATCTCTGATCGTGATGAAGAATAAGGAGCAAGCTTCATATTAGATATCAATAATGTACGCTCCACTGTAAGCTCAGAGACGGATGGCGGAAATGCAGGAACTTGAATCAACTTGGGGCAGTCTACAATCTTTAGCCTCTGGAGACAAGGAAGCGGGTTTTCCCTCACTTCAGACCACTCGACCAAGCTGGGAAAATCGTCAAGCACAAGAACCTTTAGGGAAGGAAATGCCATGTCATCAGTACCATAAAACTCATGCCCAATTCGCTCGACCGTGCACAGCTCCTTCATATGTAATTGTTCGAGGGATGGCAGAAGGCCCAGTGCAGGCAGAGCTCCCAAGCTCCTGCAGTTAACAAGGTGCAAGGATTGCAGCTCCCTCAGCAACGCCAACTGTAACCAACTGGGAGATGTCACACCAAGATACCTTATAATGCTAAGTTCCTTCAAGTTTTGATGTGGCTGGAGGTTTTCTAGTACTTCACAATCAGCCACAGGGGTGAGAATTCTACAAGCTGAACTCCATTCCAGTGTGAGCGCCCTAAGATTCTCGTTACTTTTCATGTCGGTCTTGCTGGCTTCATCCTTGCTCAAGACATTGTCGAGGCCTTTGATTTTTAGCTGGCCATGGAGACCTTTTATGCCCTTCAGCTCTTGCAAGGCATGCCCTCCCCCCTTTTTAACACGGAACTCAACTGATCCCTGCAGGTTAATAAGCCGTCCAATACCCGGTAGCTGTGCAATGTACTTCATGTCGATTCCAAGGTGCCGCAACTTTACAAGCCTACTTATTCCTGCAGGAAGCTTATCAAGGGAACACTTATCTTCAAAGCACAAGGTTTGCAGATGGAGCAGCTTGCTTATGGACTCTGGAAGACTCCGAATGGTGCGAGACAGCGACAAGTAACGGAGATGGAATAAACAGGAAATAGCTGGTGGCAACTCAGTAAAGTCACAGTGACAAACATCAAGTGCTCGCAGATTCTTTAGCTTACCCAGGGAGTCATCTTCAAGAAAATGTGGCCAATTTCCAAAAACTATGACGGTGCGTAGGTTTTTTGGGAGTATGTTGATGGCAGCATTGACGTCTTGTAAGCTGCCCGTGGTGACCGATACATGGCGCACAGTTGAGGGGATACGACGGGTCATGCCAGGCTCAATTTGACAGCAATCTTCGGTTGAAGCTGACACTGCCATATCATGGATCAAGTCATGCATCTTATAGTGTGTGCGACGGCCCTGCCTGAGAGCATGGAAGAAGGACCGAGACAGCAGAAGATTGAAATAATCTGTGCCCAGATCCTCCATCCTTTTGCCAGTGCCACTTTGCGGTTGAATGAAGCCGTTGGCCATCCAAAGGCGTACCAAGGTTGTTTGGTCGAACTTCCAGTTCTTGGGAAATATGCTGCAGAACGCAAAGCACTGCTTGAGTCGTCCTGGCAGGTAACTGTAGCTCAACCGCAGCAAGGAGAGAGTGATATCTCCGGAAAATTCTTTTTCCGAGATAATACGCCAGTACTTTGTGCTCTTTGTAGCTCCAAGCAGTCCTCCCATCAGCTTGGCAGCTAAAGGCAATCCGTTGAGCTTGGTAGCAATCTTCCTCCCGATCTGTTCCAGTTCTTCAGTGCACTCCTCATGTGTGCTGCAGCCCCTAAAGGCAGATTCCTTGATCAGGGACCAACAATCATCAGTGCCCAATGCATTCAGGTAGTAGGTGTGAGATGCATCTAGCATGTCAGCCACCTTTGGTGTCCGAGTGACAGCAATAATCCTACTGCCGCTCTCCATGGATGTTAGGGGACTGAGGATTTCGTTGTAGGCGTCGTTGGTAAAGGGGTCGTCACCCCAGATATCATCAAGAACAATCAGAAATCTCTCGGACGACATGAACCGATTGAGCTTCAACTGAAGAGTTGGAAACGTGGCATCTTTGTCGATGGATCCACCGTATCTCGGGTTGGCTGAACGCAAGATTTGCTTTGCGAGTTCCACCTTGTCAGGCTTGCCGGAGACATGTGCCCATGCCCTGAGATCAAAGTGGGACTTGACTCTGAGGTCGTCGTAGACTGACTGGGCGAGCGTGGTCTTGCCCAAACCACCGAAGCCAACAATGGAGATGGAGACAACCTTGCAGGCGGTGCAGTGGGGCGAGGGCGGCTCAGTCAGCATCTGCACGATGTCGTTCAGCTCCTTGTTGCGGCCAAACACCTTCTGGCCACCCTGGAGCAGCGTGGAAGCGTCAAAATTCGGCACCGGAGCTGCGGGCGGCAGACCAGACCCTTGTGCTTGCTTGAGCAGAGAGCTCAGAGTGCTTGCGACGGAATCGAGATCCTTGAGGAACCGGCGGCGCGACGCCTCATCGCCGCCGCCGCCGCCGCCGCTAACGAATCGCTTGCCCAGCCTGAGAGCAGAAGAGAGTGGATTGCGATTTGACTTTGAGGAAATACTGGATTCAACCTGGAAAGTGAGGAGGCTGTGGTACTCCATGTCGTCCACCAAGTCCTCGATGCCGTAGAGGGCCTCCTTGAGCCGACCCATCCTCGCCGGAGAGCTCCTGTCGTCGTCGGCCCACAGGAGGCCGCGGACCTGGTCCAGCTGGGTCGCCACCTCCCGCAGCTTGCCGCTGACGTGGTCCCCGGCGCCGGCGCCCAGCAGGCACCTCCGCATCTGCCTCTCGCCCAGGCTCCGGAACTGGTCCACCGCGCGAGCCAGGGCCCGCAAGGCTTCCTCCAGCACAAGATCCATGGGGGTGGAGGCGAGGGGCGAGGGGGAGGCGGATCCACCGATGGCTCCTATCCCAAGCAAGCGAGTATTGGATGGAATGGCGTGTACTCAGACCAGAGCTTAGCTAATGGAGCATCCCCTCCGCCGTCTCCCTCAGTGCCTCGATGTGAACACGATGTAGCAAAAGTGCTACGCTTACGGTCGCTTTCGTAGGGACAAAATTACTGTTCTGACCTGTAGGACTAACTAAATCCCAATTTGACCTCGTTTCAAAATAAATTTCGTTTCTGACCTTTTTCGGTGACGCCAAGATCCCTGACGTCCGGGTTACGAAGCAGACGCCAGGGACCCTGGCGTCTGGCCCCTGATCCGCACTGCCCGCGTGCCCGTTGACCTGCTGACGTGGCAAAGGGGCCAGACGCCAGGGACCCTGGCGTCTGGCCCTGGTAACAGAATAACCCTTGGGGAAAGTGTGTGGGACCCACCCCACACACTTTCCCCAATCCACAACCCGAACTTGAAGAACACTTGGAGCTCTCACACTCTCTCGTACCCCTCAAGCTCCCCCTCAAATCCTCTCCAAAAGGTACATCCATTAGGTGGATCTTTCCATCACTTTGTTGCTCTTGTTAATCTCCCCCAAATCATCCAATTATTTTTTGTCAAATCTTGTTATTTTGGTTGCATTTTATACATGTTGGTGGAACCCTAGTTCATGTTTTCTCCCTTATGTTAGTGTGAATGGCTTGGTTAACTTTGATAATATAGTGCTATGCATGGTGTGTAGTAGGAATATATGCTTGTTGAGTAGAAAGATTGGGGGTTAGGGTTAGTTAGTGATTAGGGTTAACTTTGCTTAGTGTGTGTTAATTAGTGATACTTTTGTGGACATCACCAATAATTTAGTCTTGATATGATTTGGATAGAATTAGATGTGTTTGGATAAACACACCAATTCTCATTGAAGTCTTAAATCCCTCATGTTATTTTTAGATGGAGAGACTTGTTAATGTTCATTATATGGACAAGGAGGCATTCTTGAGTAACAATGCCTACACGGGTGAGGAACCATTGGTTTTTGATACAAGCCCTAGCTATGAGGATGTTGTTGCAAAAGTGAGACAAGTCTTAGAGTGGATGGACACCAATGTTGATGTTAAGTTAATAGGAAGGTATGATGTTGGAGTTGGAGCCAAATCTCGCTTGAAAAGTATGCCTATCACCTCGGATTTGCATTGGGATGTATACAAGGAAAAAGTATCCCAATCGGAAGACAAGTCACTTGAATTGTTTGCCACCAAGGTTGAATCTCCTCGGTTTACCATTGATTTGAACCGGCATGTCTCTTCCCCAATGGATGACATGAGCGAGAGGACAATGGTGCCACTTATTGAGCATAGGGTTGTGGTTGATGCCCCCAATGTTTATCCCCCACCACGTCCCCGTGTACCATCTATCAAAGCAAATGAGGTTGAGTTGTATGCCCCCAATGCTTCTAGCCAACCACCAACTAGCCAAGCAAATGAAGTTGAGGTGATTGCTAGTGACGAAGTAATTCAAGAGGATGAAGATGTTTATGATGACGACGAAGAGCAAGAGGAAGGGTTTCATGGTAATGATGTTGGTGACTTGGATGCGTACATAGCGCAAAAGGACATGGATCGTGACTTGCCTTTTAGGCGTCAATATGCGTATGACTCGGATGACGAGGGTCCAGTTGAACAGTTGGACGAGGATGGATTCACAAAGGAGGAGAACCAAATCCACTTTGAGCTGACGGGCTTGCAAAAAAGAACTCACTTGTTTAAAGATCTCAGCCTTGCCCATAAAGCTGTTGTTGACGGTGGAATGAGAATGACGGCGATTGAGCCAACACCATGCCCGGATCTAGGAGAACCAAGGGTGGAGAATGAGGACGAGAATGCTTATTTGAAGAAAGGATTGAAGTTTCTGAGCTTGCCTATGCTGAAGTTTTGGTTGGCTGACTATGCCATTCGAAACCATAGGCCAATTTATGTTGAGCACTCGGACATGAAGTTGCGTTACACCGTGGTGTGTGAGCAAAAGGAATGCACATGGAAGGTTCGTGCAAGAAAGCTTAAAGAAACCGAAGAATGGGTGTTGAAAAGTTGTGATACCACTCATAGATGCAAACCGCCATGGAAACGACTTAGAAAGACACACCGTCAACTCACATCTGAGTATCTTGGATACAAATGGATGAAAGACATAGCCTTTGATCCCACTGTGAAAGTGAGGTTTCTCATGCGGACGGTGAAAAAACAATTTGGTTATGAAGTCAAGTATGGGAAGGCATGGAAGGCAAAGGCAAATGCTATTAGGATGTTGTATGGTGGTTATGAAGAAGCATACAACCAGCTCCCAAGGTTGTTGGCCGCGATTGCACATAGGAACCCGAGCATGTTTCATGTGGTCGAGGATCACGAGGGAGTTTTCCACCGTGCCTTCTGGAGTTATGGACAATGTGTGGAGGCGTTTCAGCATTGTCTTTCGGTCTTGTCTATAGATGGCACGTTCTTGACCGGTAGATATAAGGGCACACTAATGGTAGCAATGGCGCACTCATCAAACGACAACGTGTTGCCGTGTGCATTTGCTTTGGTGCCTTCCGAGCACCAAGACAACTGGGAGTAGTTCATGGGTCATGTTAGGCACAACATGATTGGGGCTAGGGAGGTATGCATCATATCGGACCGGCATCATGGCATACTCAAGGCAATGGACATTGTTATTCCAGGATTTTCAAAGCTTCACCACAGATGGTGCATGAGGCATTTCGTGGCCAACTTTTACCGGGCATGTAAGAGCAAGGAGCTCAGCAAAGACCTTACCCATGTATGTGTGGCCTTCACCACCCAAGGTTTCGATGCTCGGTACAACAAACTCTTTGCAGCGGTGAACGAAGGGGGAAAAGAGTTCTTAACTAGGAATTTAAGCGAGAAGCACAAGTGGGCACGCGCTCATGACGATGGTGGTTGGCGATATGGCGACATGACGAGCAATCTCGTAGAATGTTTCAACAATGTGTTGAAGTATGCTCGTGCATTGCCGGTGACTGCAATAGTGGAGTACACCTTCTTCAAGCTTAATGAGTACTTTCAGAGGCATTCTGAAGAGACTGCAAAATGGATAGGTGAAAAAAAGGATTATTCGGAAAAGGTTGATGAATGGTTGCAGTTACAAGCAAGCAAGTCTTCACGGCAACAAGTTATCATATTCGATAGACTTGAAATGATCTATCAAATTGATGAGCCAGGTGGCACAACACGAGACGGTAGACAATATGGTGGTGCTGCATTTGAGGTGAAACTGAAGACTCGGTGGTGCCAGTGCGAGAGGCCTAGTAAGTATCATTGGCCATGCTCGCATTTGATAACGGTGGCGAAGGCGAGAAACATACATGTTAATGATGGAAAAACTGTGAGGATGCAAGAGTTCCATGTGGAAGCTACTAGGTTGACATGGGCGCCAAGATTTCACCCTTTCTTGGACCAATCACAGTGGCCTGAGTACCATGGCCCTCATATTAGGTCAGACCCTCTTCTGAAGGTGGAGACGAAGGGTAGAAGGAGAACTAAGAGGTTCAGGGGTGATATGGATGACCTGGCTGGATACACTGGCATGAAACAATTTGGTAGCGGTCATTTCATGGAGGCTCATGACATTATCAACTGTGGGGTGTGCGGTGAAGGGGGACACAATGAGCGGACATGCAAGAATAAGAAAACCAAAAAAAGAAAAACAAGTCGTGGAGGCGGCACCGATGGTGAACGAGGTGGAAGAGGTGACGGTGGTGGTGGTCGAGGAAGCACAAGTGTCAGAGGTGGTAGTGGTGGTCGTAGAGGGAGCACAAGTGCTAGAGGTGCTAGTGTTTGTAGAGGGAGTACAAGTGCTAGAGGTGGTGGTCGAGCTAGCACAAGTGCTAGAGGTGGTGGTCGAGCTAGCACAAGTGCTAGAGGTGGTGGTCGAGCAGGCACAAGTGCTAGAGGTGGTGGTGGTCGGAGAGGAAGCACAAGTGCTAGAGGTGGTGGTGGTCGTAGAGGAATGGTTGATAATGGATCGGCCTTCGGTTATTTGCTTAATCCAGATGGTTGATCTAATAATAATGGTATATTATTTATTCATACAATTCCTAGCATTTATTCATTTACTGTATTTACGCATTTACTCTCTTTATGTCTTGTGCTAACAATTGTTCTTTTTGTAGGCATGGCTTCATCCGGTTCTAGGACAAGGCCGGCGTGCGCGGACCAAGAGGACATGCCGAAGACGTGGATGGAGGCCAGTTTGGACAAAGAGAAGGAGAAGGATGTGCCTACACCACCATGTTGGTGTGGTGATGTTTGCAAGCTGAAGGTGTCCACTGACCGCAACAAGTTATGGACAGAAGGTAGAAGGTTTTTCGTGTGTCCCAACTATGCACATGATCGTCGAAGTCCAACTAACGCATATGACATACCACCGGTATGTTAGGTGTACATACAAAAAACATCAACAAGTTGTCACTCATATGTCTAACAAAATCATGGTTTATATGTAGTCCCCTCCTCCACTTTGCAAGTACTTCACTTGGATAGATCACGAGTTACCAAAAGATGTCCAAGAGGACCAACGTCGAGATTGGTTACGGAGGCAGCGCCTATTTGAGGAGTCCTATGCACGGGGATTGGAGCGGGAGCGTCGTGAGAAGGAGGCTCGTGAGCGCAAGAAGCGTGAACAAGAGAGGGCACGCAAAGAGAAGGAGGCTCGTCAAGAAGAGAGGGCAAGAAAACTTGCAAGGGCTCGCGATGCATGAGAGGAGGACGAGGCACGTGACAAGAAGGGAAAGTGGCCCCGTACTACTCAGTAGACAAATGGAAAGGCACCGGCGTCGATGATGAACTGTCGAGACTTTGTTTAATGTATGAACTTGTTATTCGAGACCTTGTGTGGTCATGAACTACTTATGTCATTCGAGACATTGTGTGTGAACTTGTTATTCGAGACCTTGTGTGGTCATG